AGTGCTCTCTTCTGGGGACTCTCTGGCTTGGAGCACTGACCAGGCATTGCCCAACAGTTCAATGCCAGTCACAGATTGCTACAGCTGGAGGTAACTCTGCAGGGAAACTTTCTGAAAGAAACTCAAAGAGGTCTCTGCTACCTGCACCGAGGACACTGAATATTAGTTATGGAAGGGCTAACTATAATGCCAAGTTAGAGAACGTTACAGCCAATAAGCCAGTAGTCCTCATTTGAGTACAAAAAAACATCGGCTACAGTTTTATCTCGAAGGAATGATCACAGTCATTGCCTAGACATCTCAGGTGATTCATAACACCCGTGGTAATTGACTTTTCTCAGGAAGATACTAACTTGTTTATTTGGCTCTATGCCAAATTATCTATTTAGCCTAGAGGCTGCAAATACAGAATAATACATATCCCAACTGTTGGAGATACTTTATTCTAGAACAATCGAGGGATGGGAAATCATGGTACCGAGTAAAAAGCCAGGCAGAATCCAGAACTTGGATAGCCTAGGCAAAGACTAAGCTTAAAGGTAACAATAAATGGAAGGCTCTACTGTAGTTAAGAGAGAAAGTATATGTGGGGATGGGGAACTTTAGACTTACCAAATCTCTAAAAGCTGGAACAGGGTTGATTGTACTTGACCATTTAACTGGACCCATGAGAGAGATGATCCATTCCCAAACCCTGAGACTTCCTGGCTCTGGTTGTCCTAAGGCATAGTCCCAACCCCATCTAAATGTGTTTTCTCTGAGTCTGAGCTAAAGGGAATAGATATCAGCACTTGTAACATCAAGGATGCTCATAACAGTCCTATATTATAGTATTCATATCAAGTGCCAAAAACTAGACTCTGGGTTTTGGCAAAAAGTGCAGGTCCACTCCTAATTCTCCCACTTACAGGATACGAGGACCACATGTACGCCAATGACCGCCTGAGGCCTGAGGAATACAGGGGGAGATGATACTTGGAACTAACTAGACCAGCACTGGGAGCCATTAAATGGCTCCCCCAAATCCCTATTGGGCTCAGGTACAAAACTGAGTATATAATCTCCAAAGTTCACATTAACAGGGTTACTTCAAAGGTCTGTGATACAGCTATACATGAGCAGCTATGCCAACAGTAACGCTAAAGAAACTGTAGCCATAAGATCTATGGTGGTCTCCAACCACATGCCCTTAAGGTTCTATTCTGGCTGGGGAGGGAGGAGCAGCATGTGCCATTGCACAGGGAAAATACCTATATCCCAGACAACTCCCCAGACACATGGGACTCAGCAAGCTATGTCCACAAGGAAATGATTAAACTGAGTGGGCTTCATGTGGTCCTAGTTCTCCACAGCTTTTAGTAAAGTCAGAATTATAATAAGGGAGTTTATTATTTGTGACAGCACTATTTCTATTTTTAAGGGGTGAGTTATGTGAAAATAATAAATGATGGTATCATATTGGTCTGGAGATCAATGTGTTGGTCCACATAAAAGTTATCAACTAAGGGGTGGATTGCGCTGGGTCATTTTTAAGTATTCTAACTTAGGAAATCCCATGGTTGGAAAGCCCCCATGTTATACGGAAAGCACCCTCCTCCCACCCACACGCCCACTATTTGTAGTTCCGAACTAAAGAGTTCCTACATCCTGGGGTATAGTTTGAAAGTCTAGACTCAAAACATGAACTTTAGGTCCAGCAACAAAGTAGCAAGAATACAGTTTTACTGATTTATATATCAATGACATCATCCTCTAAACTGATAAAAGAAAAACACAAACTGAGGGGACTCAGTGTCCCTCTGATATGGTGGGACTCCCATCCTGCATTAGTGACATAAGCCTATGCATAGATTTTGGGCACATCCCAGGGAGAGAAAAGAAAGGTGGAGAAAATACTGGGGAGCAGCATGTGCTTACTGCCTTCAGACATTCTCTGCTCTAACTAGTTGGGTTATAACCTTTATTTGAGATATGCTAATGCTTGCTACCATCAGGATTAAATTCTGCCATTTCTCCTGACACACAACTTAGAGAGGTTGTGTGCTCCCCACAACTAACCCTCACCATCCTGACATTTATCAAATGACTGTCAAGTATCCTAAGGACTCTACAAATAGCTCTCAGAGTTTGTTCATTCCTACCCCAAGCCCAGCCTACATGGATTGCTATGCATCAGTGAGAGTTTTCAACATAAAGTGTCTCACCGTATTACTAACAACCTCTGACATCTGGAAAGCCTACCAGTTTACCTTCCAAATGCTCATGTGTACCATTAGTGTATTTCCATCTCCAACCCCCCTCAAAAGAAATCTGAAGATAAATACAACAGACTCATTCCTCTCTGGAAAGAATGTATTCTGATTTGGCAGCAACGGAATAATGGGAAGGGGATTTTCTCTTCGAGAATCTTGCCTATCTCGAGGGAGTAACATGACATAGGAATCAAACAGGAAAAAAAGATGATATGACATACTTTTTGGGGAGAGAGGGAGGTGGTTAAAATATCTTCTATCAAGTGCTTAGAACTTGACAGTAAACAAGGTTTGGGGCATTCCACATGCTATCCCAGACAGAAACCACCTTAGGGATAAAAGTGTAGCCATCTCTACTTCCTAAATTTGGTGTGTCCAGCCTGGTTAAAGCTACAGACAAAAATAAACCTTACAGAAAGTGCCATAAACTGCAAAATGGATCCTGTACTAGGCCCATCTCTGCATTTTGTCAGGCTTTCTCAAGTTGCGGGAAGCATTCCTTGGAACCCACCAGAAATAACAGAGCCCTCTGGAGTGGTTAAAGGTCATAAATATGCAACCCTGGAAATCTTTACACAAGGAGAATTTTTATACCAAAACCATCTTATGTGTCCCATGTATGGGAGAAGTTGTAGCTAAAAATAGAAGTTTTTTAAGGATATAAATATCCATAGATTTTTAATGTTTTGAAAAACAACAGTATTTTGGAAAAAAAAAATACTGCACATCAATAATTTATTTCCCAGATTTCCCTTCTGGTAAAAGTGGTTCAGGTTGTTCACATCAGTCCTGTAACTGAAAACAACGAAAAAAACTGGATAAAATATATTTAAAATAATCTTTTCAAAAGCATCAAAGAGATTACAAAATAGTAAGGAATTATTAGGCCAAAAGTAAAGAGAAGAATCTAGAGAGGTGAACAAGCCGGAAACCACTTTTTCCTTGAGAGTACTAGTTAATCCCAGAAACCCAGACCCTCCATTTTCATGGCCTTTCCAGGTATAGAAGGGAAAAACACTGGATCCAAGCAAGTTGGGGAATCTGACAGGAGGCTTTCCCCTACAACGGTCTGCATTCCAGGATCTGAGAGAGAAGGGGACAAGAACTGGGGTGATCTAAAGAGAATTCAAACATTACTATAGTAAGAATCCCTTGAGTTGTCCAGGAAAAATGAAACTTTGAACAGGCGATCTCAAACTGATAGCGCCCTCAGGCGCCTGGCAGAAGCAAATGCAAATATTCTTTGGAGAAAAGTGCTTGCATTACAGGCCTCACAGTTATTCCTGCAAAATAACGTTTCAAATGCAATGACTAGCACAGAGTCAAACATGCCCGGCACATAAGAAAATTAGAATCAGTGAATAAAACAGACAACCAGAAAGAGCTCATCAAAAACTCCAGGTGTAGGCCCCAGCACCTCTGTTTTAATAGGCCATCCAGGTCATTCCCATACATGCTAAAGCTTGAGAATCCCTGCTTTAGACTTAAAAAATCACATAAATATTCATCCCCCACACAAAAATGTGTGGGTATGTTAGGGCTTGGGAAGGGCCCAAGAATTTGCATTTCTAAAAAGTTCCCAGATGATGCTCATGCCAGATGAGGAATACTGCTACAGAGGTATTACTCTACAGATCAGAATAGTGGTTACGTGTGGGGAGATGGGCCATAATTTGGAAGCAATATGTGGAAGGCTGAAAATCCCCTCTTTCTTGATCTCAGTGGTGGTTACACAGTGTAATCATTAAGTTTTAGGTTTTATTTTAACGCATGACAAGATCAGTGGTTGTCCTTTTTCCATTCAATCATCTAAGTCCAATGTCACTGCTATGTCACTAAATCCTATCCACCTCCATCTCACCACCCTCATTTATAATCAACTCCCAAAGTAGAAAGTGTAAAAGGTTGCAAAGTTCCAAGACATTACTTCCTTCACTTTAGTTCCTAATGTAATTAGCTCATGAAATTAAATAGCTTTAAAACTCAAGACAAGAAAAATTAAGTCTAAGTTTCTAAAAACCCTGTTTAAAAAGTTGTTTAAAACCCAGAGATATGATACTGCTTATAATCTTAGTTCTTTGTCACCAAAAATACCTGAAAAAATAGACAACTACCGTAAACTTTTCCCCTAAGTTAAAAGAAAGGGAGGAGATACTACCTTTTACCAGTCTGAACTTCCTACTCCAAAGAGGCAAAGATCCTTGCTTCTCTCCAAATACAACCTGAAAATAAAATACCTAGTACTGCTTATAGTAATGGTAAGATCCGTCCTACTCTCTTAATTAATCCTCATCTACGTGGAAAAGTAATACTCATCAACGGGCCTTAAATCTGTGAACACGTTAAGAGAAAATATAGAAAATCTCTTTGTAGGAAGGGGAAAAATGAAAATAAAAAAGGCTGAGAAGCACCAAATTAAATTGACCAGTGCAGACTGTACTTTGAAGTTCCCACACTGGTTTCTTATATTTATACAAAATACTTTTTCCGGCGGTCAAATTCTTCTGTGAACTTCAAGAAACACTTACTACTTTCCATTTTTGATTCATAGTACCAACACCCTCTATTACCCAAAACCTCACCATTACTCTGTGAGGAAACAATGATAACAGTGGAGTTTCTGACTCTGGCAACTAGCAGGGGCCTAGGCCTTGTGATAGTCCAGACAGGTATCTGAACAACCAAATGGTTCCCACAACCGGGTGTGGCAAACTACTGAGACCATGGGGAAAAAAAAAATGTAGCTGGGTTTTGTTATGCCCATAAGTACCTTGAGAGTGGTCACAAATACCTTCAACACCTGGACATACCTTCCTATTTATGTGGTAAGAACTGACCAACGTGCTTTGCTTAACTCCCACTGTAACTCTGACCATTGCAGACCTGAATTCATACACCTCTCACAGCTTCCTCTTTCTTACAGCATCAAAATATGACCATGTAAGATGCCTAATCACTATTATGTTAACTGTAGACAATGTAGCAAGATAATGTTGGTAGTTTAGCAAGGATCATTCCAGGATCCTGAAGGTTAGAGGTCCAGATGATCTGGCTTGTGAAAGGCAGTTTTTGTAACCATGTAATATACTGGGATTTGGGGACAATGTAGGTGGGGATATAAGGGGCTTGGAAAGCTTCTCCAACCTGGGCAGGCAGAACCCGAGTATCACCAGCCTCAGCACCTGTCCTGGGAGGAGCTGGAGAGACCTGAGAAGCCACATTCACTAACACTCCAACCCAATGCCCTCTGTGTCCATTATCTAACTCTAACCAAGCCTCAAACCAAGTCTTCTGTGGGATCATTTCAATTCAGAAAGTAATACTCATTAAAAAAAAAAAAAAGGCATAACCACCATTTTGGAGCAGAGCTGATCCTAGTAGAAAAGTGCTTCCCTTTCTGCTCGTTGCTGACAATACCTTAAGTACTGAATTGGCCCTTCAAAAGTACATCCTCATTCAATTAAGTAGAAAACTCCAGATTATCATATTGTAGCTGAGCTTGTTATACTAAATTCTTTCACTTGTCTGGAGGATAAGTACTACAGTAAAGCAAATATATCATCCTTTTACTAAGGGCTATCAGCTAGATGAGATTACCAACACTCTATAAACATTTTAGTCCCTGGTCAAAATTAACTTTAAGAAAACATCCTACAGAATTTATGATTATACCTTTCAATACAATCTGAGTACTTTCTTCTTACTCTTGGATTACTTTTGCCTCTGTGAGAATATCAAATTCACATGTAAATGAGTGCCTATTAAGAGCTGTTTAAAGTCATGTACGTCATCCAGTACATATAGAGAGGATTTTGGTGATTGCTCTTAGGTTAAAGATTTCATCCCATCTATAGTTATAAACAATATTTTCTGATAATAATCACTTGACTTGAAAAACCAAAGCATCCTACTTTTTCAGCAAAGTCAGAGTCCCCACCAACAGACTTCTCCGAAGTTGTGGATGTACCTGTTGACTGTCCTGCTCCCCTAGGTGTCCTCTGATTACAAGGATTGGTTTGGAGGGTTATAGAATTTTCTAGTCATTTGTGAATCTCACTGTGCTTCATGTGAGTTACTAATGTCCATGTCGTCACCCTTAAACCAAAGTTCTTTTACATACCGTTCACTGGTTTTGTTCTCAATCACTGAATCATAAATGGAACTGATAAAACTTTTCATACTCAATTTCCTCTGTAGGGCAAGTGGCATCTAAGTCATCTTCGATTTTGAAACTGAAAGTATCCAAGTATCCCGTGGAGAGAAGTAGAGCTTGTCCTGCACGTTGTTTTGCAGCATTTCCACTATTACTGGGTCATCTGGTAGTACGTGAACTTTAAATCAAATATCTGACCACACCTCTTGGTGTAATTCATACTATGTTGACTTGTAGTGAGTACAAAAACATTACTTTATCATTTTTTGAGTCCTCTTCCTTAGCATGTCCTCTTTTAGCTTTCCATACATCTCTGTTTGGTACATAACCCAAAATCAAAATGTTATATGAAAGGCTTTTTTTGTTCACATATACACAACTCCCACACTACTATATACCCTCCTGAAAGTTGAAATCTTTACCTCTTTTTTTTCTTTGTCATAGTGGTTAAAAGAATTCTGGAAACAGACTACATGAGCTTAAGTCATCTTTCGTTCAGTGTGACCTGAGCACATTACCAAACTTCTTTGGTCCTCATTTTTCTAATCTGTGATATGTAGATAATAACACCTAATGTTCTAGGACTGTTATGAAGTTTCTCTTTTTTTAATATTTTATTTATTTGAGAGAAAGAGCAAGAGACCATAAGCAGGGGGATTGGCAAAGGGAGAGGGAGAAGCAGATCAGGGAGCCTGATGTGGGGCTCTATCCCGGGACCCCAGGATCACGACCTGAGCTGAAGGCAGGTGCTTAACCGACTGAGCCACCCAGGCGTCTCTGGATTGTTACGAAGTTTCTATGTATGAGGATTCAGTGTGTTAATAAATGTAAAACTCTTCGGACAATGCTTGACACTTGATAAACACTCTACATCTTAGCTCTTGTATCTACTGCCACATAAACCCCCCAGCTGTTGAGATTATACACGCTCCTGGTCTTAAGATTTCTGTGCTGTATTTCTTACACTAATCAAACGATTGACAATTTTAATAGGAAGATACCATATATACCATATATATACAGCCTACAAGCTCATCAAACATCTTAACTATTTCTCTTGGATACTCCAAGGCATAACTGAGCAAATGATAGAGCCTTCAACAGAACACAAAATATAAAGTATTGCCTTGAGGCTGCCTACCTTATTACCACTACTGCTGGCTGGAGAGGTCACAAACATTCTCAGGCTCCCTTGATATCTGAAATAAAAACCACAAGACCAGATGTAGCACAATGGCAATGTAAATCAAGCATGTTCCCAGCAGTTGATAGCAAAATTATACACACACGTGTACACATACCTACAGCACATTTACCCAGAGGTGGTCACTATTCTTATTGAAAGCCTATTACTGTATTCGGCCTTCTTCCTCCCCCACAAAAGGACATTAAGATTCTTTTTTTCTTTCTTTCTTTCTTTGGTTTCACTAAAAAACCTGTAGGAGCTGCTCACTTGCTGGAACTAAAGTCCAAATCTGGTGCTAGCTGAATGTTGAATACAGTTAAAAGAAGAATAGGTGAGAATCTACCTCTTCAGCTGAAGTTTATTTAGGTAATGAGATAAATCTGTTGTTGACAGACAAAAGAAGGGCAGAAAATTTTGCTTATTCTCTATTTTAGGGAAGATTTCACAAAAATCTGTCTGCCTTAGTAAGAAAACAGATGTTTACACAATATGGCTTTTTACTATCTCAAGAACCATTTTTGTTCATAGTCAACATGTGTATTTCACTAATTTGGCTTCTATCTAGGATGTAGAAACCTAGCATGAACATCACTCTTACCTAAACAACTAGGAAAACTATAGAAAACCTTTTCTTAAACCTGTTGGAGATCTGAGGTTAGGGTAACCAACTGGACTTTCCCTCATTTTAGTCCTGTAAGTCCTGGGAAACTCCTTAATACCACACAAATTGGGATGGTTGGACATCCTAACAAGGGTCACAGACCAAGCAACCAACCTGAGCTCCAAGGAAAAGACTGGTCCTACCAGGAAGATAGGATGTGAGCACTGAAGAAGAGACATCAAGAACTAAGAATTCAATACATCATCAAGAAGAGACATCAAGGTTCTAGGAATTCAGCTAGAATTGTTAACAAACTGCTAAAGGCCAACAGGGGACAAGGATGCCCTGAAAGCCTCAGATAAAAAAGGAGCTTGCTTCCATTTATAGCCTCTTCTCCATGTTCTCACTGGGTGCTGATGAGAAAAACAGGACAAGGCAGGAGGTCAGAGAGAGCCTCTCTTGGAGATGAAGGCCTTGGTGAAGGAGAAAAAGCTCCCACCATGGAAAGTGCAAAAGTCCTGCCATCCTCTTCCTATGAACAATAGCTTCAAGCCCCTGGGAAAGGGGCAGCAGACTCTATTATCTCCAAGGCTCAGGTAAAGGGCCCTTGATACTGGGTAAGAATAGGAATAAGAGAGGACAAAGAGCTTCTGTCCCTGGGTAAGGAAGGACAGGAAACAGTCTTGGGCCCAAGATCTTATGTTAATAAAATTCCAGGAATCAGGAGACTCTTATCTTCTCAAGACTCATCAAAGATGCAAGGTAGAATTCTGTCACAGGGAGACTGAAGGGCTGAGGAAGCCCCCACTTAGAAGGCCTAAACATATAAGGCTTGCTTAAGAGAGGCTGGACAAAGATGACTGATCCTCTGGCTCCCATTACCACCATCCTATCAAGCAGCAGGTTACAAGCAGAGGAAAAGGCAAAGGCATGGAGAGAGGCCCTTTTTGTGCAGGTTAAAAAGAAGGCTCAAAGCTGAGAGTAGAAAAGGAATATTGAAAAAATCCCTCCAGCATTCTAGCCCACCACAAGTATAAGGTAACACCAAAGGAAACTGAAACCAGTGGTGTACTGAAGGTGAAAAAATCAAACCCAAACCCAGCTCAACTACTGATTGATTCAAGACCCCGCATTACTGACTTAGCAGCAGAAGAAACATGCTTATTTGAGTCATACATTATTTTAATGTCTACTGTTTTATACAAGATGCCTAGAATTGGATAGAAAATTATAAGACACATAAAAAAGAAAAGGAAAAAAAAAACCCATTGTCGAGAGAGAGAGATCAATCAACAGAATGAGGTTCAGAGATAACCTAAGTTTGGAATTATGAGGGGGATTTAAAATACCATTTATTAATATATTAATCATACATATTAAAGGTGGATAACAGGAATGATCAGGTAGAAAATTTCAGTAGAGATAAAAACTATGTCAAGTGGAAATGCTAACAAAAAGCACAGTAACAGAGATGAAGAATACCTTGAAAAAGCCAATCAGTACATTTGATACAGCATGCACTTGGAAAGCATGAACTTGAAGCTGTATAATAAAATTACCCAACTAAAATACAAAGAGAAAAAAGTGTGAAAAAAACCTCAAATAAGTGTTCAAGTGTTGTAGGACAAGATCGAACAGTCTAATAAAAGTATATTTGGAATTCAAGAAAGAGAGAGAGCAATAACAAGAAACAAATCTTCCAAAAATGATAAAATATACCAAACCACAAGTAACAAAAGCTCAGATTCCCAAGCAGAATAAACACCAAAAATACAAACCCCAACATATTATATTCAAACCGCTGAAAAGTCAAAGTTAAAGAGAAAATCTTGAAGGAAGCCACAGAGAAAAAGACACAGTACAGAGAAACAGAGAATTACAGCTGATTTAGGAACTACGCAACTCAGAGTACATTGGAGTAATAACTGTAAAACACTAAAGGAAAAATACTGTTAATGCAGAATACTGTGCCCAGGGAAAATATCTTTCAGATATGATGGAAAAATAGACTTCAAAAGACAGATAAAAAGCCAAAAAACCAAACAAAACCGAAAAAATTTATTATCAATAGACCTGTACAAAAATAAAGGTCAAAACAACTTCCTTCAACACAAAGAACGTGATACTAAACAGAACTTGCTTCCAAAAAAGGAAATGAAGATTTCCAGAAATAGTTAAAACGAAAGTAAAATACAAAAGATTTTTTTTTAACTGCTCCAAAAGGTAGCCTAAAGCAGTGGTTCTCAACCTGGGGTAATTCTGCCTCTCAGGAGACATTTGACAATGTTGCGACATTTTGATTGTTATAGTTGGGGTGGGGGCAGAGATAGGAATAGAGGGATAGAGATGTAGTGCTACTGGCATCTAGTGGGTGTAAAGGCCAGGCATGTGCTGGACACATCCTACATCCTAGAAAGGTGAACACTGTACAATAAATAACTATTCAGCCCAAAATGTCCATAGTACCAGACTATTGTGGCTTGATTGATAAAAAAAAAAAAAAAAGAGAGAGAGAGAGAGAGACAAAGACATAAAATACCAAAACAATGAAATGAAAAAGGTGCAATCACTACAGATCTTGGCCATTAAAAGAATATGACAATATCACAAACAACGGTATGCCCATAAATTCGAAACTTAGATGAAATACACAAACTCCTTTTAAGACACAAACGACAAAGACTCACTTAAATACATAACCTGAACAGTCCTATGTCTATTAAAGACATTGAATTTGTAGTTTAAAAACTTCTAACAAGAAAGACTATAGGTCAGGATGCCTTCACAACCTACAGTGAAGATCATGACAAAATCAAACTAGCTCTTCTTAGTGTACCTAGATTTGATAAATGTCTTATTAGGTGCCAGGAGAAATGCTTGAGTTTCAACCTACTGGAAACTGCAGCAAGTCCAGAATTCCAAGTTACCCCTCCAAGGCACCAGTCCTCACCTCCTACCCCTGCCCCACTCACATTCCCACACTAGGGCCACTTTCCAGGGAACTAGAGGCTCTAGGACAGTTAGGGTTAGGACTACTAGCTTCCAACACACACTGATGTAGAGCTGACATCTTCACTTACCACATTAATTTTTTTTTAAAGATTTTATTTATTTATTTGACAGAGATCACAAGCAGGCAGAGAGGTGGGGGGAATGGGGGCGGTTGCAGGAAGCAGGCTCCCCGCTGAGCAGAGAGCCCAACTCGGGGCTTGATCCCAACTCGGGGCTCGATCCCAGGACCCTGAGATCACGACCTGAGCTGAAGGCAGAGGCCCAACCCACTAAGCCACCCAGGTGCCTTACCTTTAAGCGACATTCAAAACACTGAAGATACTGGAGTCTACCCAGTATGTTGTATTTTCCATAACTGAAGGAGGCTGCTTAAGTGAGAGTTTAAATATAGATAATTTTCTGCTCCTATCTATACTTCACACCAGTGGACCAGGCAATTTCTTCACTAAAGCTTATTACTTTCAAAGGTAGCGTGATTGACAAAAAGGAGTCAGGCCAAGGCTGCTGTAATCCCATAATTTGTAACAATAATTGAGAGCTAAGGTTGGTGCAGTGACCTTCCCTTGCTTCCTTCTTCCTTCCCTTCTCTGCATTCTCTATAGTTTACTTCTACAAAACTAGACAAAGAAACAGTTCTGCCAGCATCCAAATTGGTTCTAGTGGCAAGAGCAAACAGAAGTTTGAGACTTTCCTGTATGAGTGACTATAATTTTGTAGTTCTAGACTATGCAGGAGTACTCTCTGGGAGAGAAGAGCAATGTGAGTTTTTTGGGGAAAAGCAGTTTTTCTGAACATTGTAAGTAGTTTTCAATACTCTGCAATCTTTAGTACAGGGCTCTCTAAAAGAAGCATAATGTGAACTACATATATAAAATTTCTAGTAGTCACATTAAAAAAGTGAAAATTAATTTTAATATATTTTATTCAACTCAATATATCCAAAATATCATTTCAGCATGTAATCAATTTAAAAGTAGAATATTTTACTTTAAAAAACAAGACATTAAAATCTGGTGATCTGGTGTACATTTTATAGCACATCTTATTTTATTTTTTATTCTTGTTTTTATAAAGACTCTTGTTAACATTGATTAAGTTTTTATTTAAATTTCAGTTAATATACGGTATTAGTTTCAGATGTCTAATATAGTGACTTAACACTTCCATACATTACCTAGTGCTTGTCACAAGTGTCCTCCTTAATCCCATCCCCTATTTAACCCACCCCCCACCACCTCCCCTCTGGTAACCATCGGTTGGTTCTCTATAGTTAAGAGTCTGTTTCTTGGTTTGCCTCTTCTTTTTTTTTTTCCCCTTTGCTCATTTTTCTTAAATTCCACATGTAAGTGAAATTATACGATATTCATATTTCTCTGACTTACTTCACTTAACCTAATACTCTCTAGCTCCATCCATGTCATTGCAAATGGTGAAGATTTCATACTTTTTTTGGCATATATATATATATATATATATATATATACATACATACATGTATATATACACACACACACCCCACATATATATATTATGTGGTATACAATATATATTTTGTGTGTGTGTGTGTGTATCCCATCTTCCTTATACCTTCATCAGTTGATAGACACCTGGGCTATTCACATAATTTGGCTATTGTAGATAATGCTGCTATAAAGACTGAGGTGCACGTATCCCTTTGAATTAGAATTTTTATACTCTTTGGGTAAATACCTAGTAGTGCAATTGCTGGGTCACAGGGTAATTCTACTTTTAACTTTTTAGGCACCTCCATACTGTTTTCCAGAGTGACTGCACCTGTTTGCATTCTCACCAACAATGCAAAAGGGTTTGCCTTTCTTCATATCATCACCAACACCTGTTTCTTGTGTTGTTGATTTTAGCCATTCTGACAGGTGCAATGTGGTATCTCACTGTAGTGCTGATCTGCATTTTCCTGACGATGAGTGAAGCACATCTTATTTTAGACTTGCCTCATTTTAAGTGCACAGTAGTCACTTGTATTTTGTGGTTACAGTATTGGACAGCATAGCTATAGAGCCTCTCAGTTTCCTTCTTGATCTGTCCTCCCTCCCCTCCGCCCACCACACCTGCACCAGCCCTTCCAGGGCATCTGTAAAATTAGTCCCAGAGCACTGATTAATACAGCTGATTGCTCACCTGCCTCTATCCTTGGGCAAGGAACCAAATGCCTTCAGAAGCTTGGCATTTTCACATTCTGCATATTCTTCAAAGGCCCTGAAATATAATGAGGGGTGGGGTGAGCACTGGATCAGAAAGGTCTCATGATTCCAACAACTGTTTAGTTAATAGAATCATCCCTCCTCTGACTCTTGATGTCTTAGTAGCTGAGTGGTCCAGAGAAGAATCCCTTTTAACGCTTTTTTTATACCATTGAATTTTATCAAAGACAGCCTTCAGGAAAAGATGAGAGTTGGGGCCAGTACCAGGTTCATAATTTGCTGGGCCCAGTAGAAAAGAGAGAATAGGGAGCCTTTGGTTCAAAAATTAAGAACTTCGAAAGGTGACCGCAAAGCATTAAAACAAGTGCAAGGCCCTCCTTCTGAGCACGGAGCCTTGTATGACTACACAGGTTGGACCTCTGTGAAGCTGGTGCCAGTTGAGGCTTCTGTCCTTGGAGGAAGCAAGGAAATGGTGACATTACCTAGACTATCCCTGAGCACCTGACGCTTAATGGAGACTCCAAAGTTATGTGTACTAGAATTCACTGCCGAAAAGGTTTTCAGGCCGGTGAGCGCTCTTCGGAAAAATGTAGTGAGGGGATCAAGGAAGTGGGTAAGACTTGGCTTTGCTGGTTAAATCACTGAGTATCCCGGGTTCCTAAGGTCAAGCTTCTGTGACCCCAAGTGGGGTAACAAAAGATTGCCACCTGCAACGTGACTCCACGCCTGGGCAGGAGTCCCTTCGAGGCTGTTTCAGAGTCAATTTGCCCCTCTTCAAGCCACAAACGGCCGCTGCCGGTGAGGGAATTCGGGAGCTCCCTCTGTGGGAGTCGGTGGGAGCCGCGGCCCGGCTTCGGGCCCCTGACCCTGCGAGGGCGGACCGGGTCAAGGCCAGCGAGGGGACTCGGCGTACCCGCGCCCAGCAGCGCCCCCTCCCGCGCTCGCACTTCCGCCTCTCCTCCACGGGGGCAACGCACACCTCCAGCTGTGGGGGCCTGGGGCGGGCAACGGCCGGTCGGGCCCGGGCCCCGAGGCCCGCCCGGGCCGGTGCAACCCACCCGAACCATAGTCACTGTTGCTGAAGCCCGCGGCGGCGTCGCAAAGGGCGACCGGGGACTCGCCCCTGCACCTGGTCTGGCCTAGCCGCGGCCACACTATCGCAAGGGCCCTCGGTGCCCGGAGCCTCAGAGACCCCTTTCCCGCCAATGACGTCCGAGGGAGGTAACCAGTCAGGGCGTCTGCCAGCAGCGGCTCAGCGGAAACGCTGGCCGGGAAGCGTGCGCTGCCAGCGGGTGGTTCCCCCGGGCGACAGGCCCCGCCCCCGGGCGACAGGCGCCCCCTCCTGACGACAAGCCCCGCCTCCGGCCGCGTACGCTGCCAAACTCCTCGTGGAGTCGCGGTTGGGCTGTGGGTTTGGTCGGGTTCTGGGATGGCTTGTACCTGCGCCGGCTTTCGTGTCCCTACTCTTCCTAGTAGTCTGGCTGGTCGCGGTACGCTAGTGGCGCTTGGCACGCAGGGTGGCGTCATGCTGGATGTTGGATAACGAGAAAAAGATTCGTTTTCCTTGGCCGGTGCTGGCTGGAGACCACTAGCTTAGACTCCAGTGGGCCAACGAGCGAGGAACGGCCATGGCCTCCAGGGGGCGCCCTCTCCACGAGGCTCTCCGCCGCTGCTCCGTTTCTTCCTCGCTATCAATTTACTTAACAGCCCAGAGTCAAGATGTCAATTTAATATCACAGATTTCTTACGCAACTGAATTTTTAAATGACTCACTTTATTTGAAAACAGTATTGATAAATTAATAAGATCTCTATTAATGCAACATCTACGTTTAGTTCTAAATTGAAAGGAAGGTCAAATCTGTTACTTATTAGCAGTTCACCCTTGAAGTAGCTGCAATTGAAATCGGTTTCAAAACAAATATGTAGCTGGAGATACTACTATAAAAGTGTACCTTCTTTCCAAGTAAGTGGATATAAAAGTTTGAATTAGATCTGAAACGTTTCCTCTTCACACTGATTAAATCATGCCACGGGAAAAAAGGTTATCTTACCTACCTACATTATCCCAATGCTGTTTTACATAATCAGAAATGGATTAATCTCAGAGATCTTTAAATATAACCATCATACTCAATGTCAGTGTGTTTTCAAATCTGTCTTTAAGCCTATGTTATTTAACTCATGGAAAGATGTAAATTTTGAAAGATGTCCATAAATGGGGTTAACATAGTACAATTTTGTTGATAAAGATCACTTTAATTTCTTTCATGTTAGGGAGATTGATTTTATTTTCTTCCATATAGCCACTGTCAGTAATTATTAATTGTAAAATAAAGTGTACAATGTGATGATTTAATATATGTATACATTGTGAAAGTTTTCCCCTTGCAATAAAGGCATCCGTCATATATTTACCTTTTGTGTGTGTGTGTGAACATTTCAGTGCTACTCTTTGCAAATGCCAGTGATACAACACAGTGTTATCAACTAGAGACACATGTTACACTTTGGATTCTCAGACCTTATACATCTCATAACTAAAAGTTTGTATCTTTTTACCAAACTCTCCCTATTTTAATTCTGTTGAGATTTGTTTATATATCCTAAATACTAGTTCTTTGTCAAGCACATATAAATATTTTCTCCCATTCTGTAGCCTGTCTTTTCATCTTCTTAATAGTCTTTCAGAGAGCAAAAGTTTTTAACTTCATTAATGTTCAATACCGATTTTTTCTTTTATGGGTGGTGTTTTGTGTTAAGTCTTAAGCTCTTTGCTCAGCTTAGATCTTGGAGATTTCCTACTTTTTTTTTTCTAAAAGTTTTATGGTTTCCTTTACGTTTTTGACCTGTTTGAGCTAATTTTTGCTTAAGGTGTGAGACTTAGGATTCATTTTTGTTGTTTTGTTTATGGCTGTGCAATTGCTCCAGCAGCAGCTAGACTTCTATCTTCTTTTTTTAAAAAGCTTTGTTTAAGAGGAAAAATTATAAACTTGATGAAACTACAAAATTAGTTGAGGATTTGGAAATTAAATTCTATTAAGAAAGTAGTATGTTAGCTATGGAAAAAGTAATACAGTACCCTTTGCATTAAGAATGACAGCAGGAGAGGGATGCCTGGGTGGGTTAAAGTGGTTAACCCACTTTAACCAGTGGGTTAAAGCCTCTGCCTTTGGCTCAGGTCATGATCTCAGGGTCCTCGGATAGAGCCCCGCATCGAGTCCTGCATCAGGCTCTCTGTTCAGCAGGGAGCCTGCTTCTCCCTCTCTCTCTGCCTGCCTCTCTGCCTACTCATGATGTCTGTCAAATAAATAAATAAAATCTTAAAAAAAAAAAAAAGAATGACAGCAGGAGAAGAAATAATCCAAAAGGAGAATGTTCTTTATAGCATTAAAAAAAAAAAAAAGATTTATTTACTTAAGAGAAAGAGAGAGAGAGACCAGGGGAGGGTCAGAGGGAGAGGGAGAGAGATAATCCCAAGTAGACTCTGCACTGAGCAAGGAGGCCACTGCCAGGCTTGATCTCATAACTCTGAGATCATGACCTGAGCTGAAATCAAGAGTTGGATGCTTAACTGACTGAGCCACCCAGTCACCCCTTTACTCATGCATTTTTAATCTATTTCTCCACATAACTCATGCAATTTTTATTTGTGGATATTGACGTGATATTACTTGTTGCACAGATATTTGTAATTATTATTTTTTCATTGTTATTTGTATGCCTTGTCATTATAAAGCACTCTTCGAGACATCTCCTTTGACACTGTTTTCCTTAAATTCATCTTATATGATATGTTAGTGGTCTCTCTCCCTATTGGTTTTTTTGTTTTGTTTTGTCTTTGCCTAGTATACACTTCCCACCATTTCACTTTCAGTTTCAAACCCCTTTGTTTTTAAGATCTCCTGTATACAGGTGTTAAGCTGATTCTGCTTTGTAATGCCATACGGAAGTCTTTTTAGTTGATTGAAATCTATTGCTATCAGCCATGGTGTGCTGGAGCCTCTCACACCAACTCATGAGTTTTTTTTTTTTTTTTAATCTTTCTTTTTTTTTTTAATTTTATTTTTTATAAACATATATTTTTAACCCCAGGGGTACAGGTCTGTGAATCGCCAGGTTTACACAAGTCACAGCACTCACCATAGCACATACCCTCCCCAATGTCCATAACCCCACCCCGCCTCTCCCAACCCCTCTCCCCCCATCAAACCTCAGTTTGTTTTGTGAGATTAAGAGTCACTTATGGTTTGTCTCCCTCCCAATCCCATCTTGTTTCATTTACTCTTCTCCTACCCCCTTACCCCCCATGTTGCATCTCCTCTCCCTCATATCAGGGAGATCATATGATAGTTGTCTTTCTCCGATTGACTTATTTCGCTAAGCATGATACCCTCTAGTTCCATCCACGTCATTGCAAATGGCAAGATTTCATTTCTTTTGATGGCTGCATAGTATTCCATTGTGTATATATACCACTTCTTCTTTATCCATTCGTCTGTTGATGGACATCTAGGTTCTTTCCATAGTTTGGCTATTGTAGACATTGCTGCTATAAACATTCGGGTGCACATGCCCCTTCAGATCACTATGTTTGTATCTTTAGGGTAAATACCCAGCAGTGCAATTGCTGGGTCATAGGGTAGTTCTATTTTCAACATTTTGAGGAACCTCCATGCTGTTTTCCAGAGTGGTTGCACCAGCTTGCATTCCCACCAACAGTGTAGGAGGGTTCCCCTTTCTCCGCATCCTCACCAGCATCTGTCATTTCCTGACTTGTTAATTTTAGCCATTCTGACTGGTTTTAGGTGATATCTCATTGTGGTTTTGATTTGTATTTCCCTGATGCCGAATGATATGGAGCACTTTTTCATGTGTCTGTTGGTCAACTGGATGTCTTCTTTGCAGAAATGTCTGTTCATGTCTTCTGCCCATTTCTTGGTTGGATTATTTGTTCTTCAGGTGTTGAGTTTGCTAAGTTCTTTATAGATTTTGGACACTAGCCCTTTATCTGATATGTCATTTGCAAATATCTTCTCCCATTCTGTCAGTTGTCTTTTGGTTTTGTTAACTGTTTCCTTTGCTGTGCAAAAGCTTTTGATCTTGATAAAATCCCAATAGTTCATTTTTGCCCTTGCATCCCTTGCCTTTGGCGATGTTCCTAGGAAGATGTTGCTGCGGCTGAGGTCGAAGAGGTTGCTGCCTGTGTTCTCCTCAAGGATTTTGATGGATTCCTTTCTCACATTGAGGTCCTTCATCCATTTTGAGTCTATTTTCGTGTGTGGTGTAAGGAAATGATCCAATTTCATTTTTCTGCATGTGGCTGTCCAATTTTCCCAACACCATTTATTGAAGAGGCTGTCTTTTTTCCATTGGACATTCTTTCCTGCTTTGTCGAAGATTAGTTGACCATAGAGTTGAGGGTCTATTTCTGGGCTCTCTATTCTGTTCCATTGATCTATGTGTCTGTTTTTGTGCCAGTACCATGCTGTCTTGATGATGACAGCTTTGTAATAGAGCTTGAAGTCCGGAATTGTGATGCCACCAACTTTGGCTTTCTTTTTCAATATTCCTTTGGCTATTCGAGGTCTTTTCTGGTTCCATATAAATTGTAGGATTCTTTGTTCCATTTCTTTGAAAAAAATGCATGGTACTTTGATAGGAATTGCATTAAATGTGTAGATTGCTTTAGGTAGCATAGACATATTCACAATATTTATTCTTCACATCCAGGATCATGGAACATTTTTCCATTTCTTTGTGTCTTCCTCAATTTCTTTCATGAGTACTTTATAGTTTTCTGTGTATAGATTCTTAGTCTCTTTGGTTAGGTTTATTCCTAGGTATCTTATAGTTTTGGGTGCAATTGTAAATGGGATGGACTCCTTAATTTCTCTTTCTTCTGTCTTGTTGTTGGTGTAGAGAAATGCAACTGATTTCTGTGCATTGATTTTCTATCCTGACACTTTACTGAATTCCTGTACAAGTTCTAGCAGTTTTGGAGTGGAGTCTTTTGGGTTTTCCACATATAGTGGAAATCACATATAATCTGTGAAGAGGGATAGTTTGGCTTCTTCTTTGCCGATTTGGATGCCTTTAATTTCTTTTTGTTGTCTGATTGCTGAGGCTAAGACTTCTAGTACTATGTTGAATAGCAGTGGTGATAACGGACATCCCTGCCGTGTTCCTGACCTCAGTGGAAAAGCTTTCAGTTTTTCTCCATTGAGAATGATATTTGCGGTGGGTTTTTCATAGATGGCTTTGATAATATTGAAGTATGTGCCCTCTATCCCTACACTTTGAAGAGTTTTGATCAGGAAGGGATGCTATACTTTCTCAAATGCTTTTTCAGCATCTATGGAGAGTATCATATGGTTCTTGTTCTTTCTTTTATTAATGTGTTGTATCACATTGATTTGCGGATGTTGACCCAAACTTGCAGCCCTGGAATAAATCCCACTTGGTTGTGGTGAATAATCCTTTTAATGTACTGTTGAATCCTATTGGCTAGTATTTTGGTGAGAATTT